TCATATATATGCATCTGATTTTAACATTCAATTGAGACTTTGGGGTATATGATTTTGGATTCTGCTTTGCCTTTTATGTTATCCTATATGCAATTTCCCACATATTTAAAGTTATTTGAAACTATTTGCAATAGTTGATAAGATCCCATTATCTGAGTCTAATATCAAAATTTCTTTCAATATTTATGTGGCAGGTTTATATTATATGGAGGTTTTTAATATTGTAAGTACTTTTGTGGTGAGTATCTTTGAACATAAATCTTTTTAATATCTCAGATTAATTTCATAATCCAAATACCTATGAGTAGAATTACTGGATTAAAGGATAGGAGTATTTTTGAGGCTTAAGGCTCCTGATGATTTTTAATAATTTTTCTCAAGTAAAACCCTCAACTGATTTCAAAAATCAAAGTAAAACTATATTTTTATGCATTGTTTTATTTATGACTTTTTTAAGGATTTGGAAAACATAAGATAATTGAAAATAGCTTGTTCCTTACTACAGAGAAGACTTTTACCTCATGAAAATAGTCAGAACCCAGAGCAATCAAAAAAGGATTCTTCTCGTATAAGGTGGAAAATAATTCTACCACATAAATTCTCAGTTTTGTCCACATTTTATGAAAAGGCCAAAAGCAAGCAAGTGAGAAAAAAAAAAGGACACATAGCTATTATTATAGCAACACAGAGTTGGTCAGCCACTTCAAGTTCTTGTGGCCGGTGAGGTCACTGCAACTGCAGGCCAATATTTCTGACAAATTATGCACATTGAGGTCACATCACTTGACTTGAGGCAGTTTTTCAAAATTGCAGACTTCTGTTTACCAAAGGTCCCTGACTTAAAAACATCCTTTTGTGCCCTCTAGTGTTTAAATTCATCAAAGCTTTTGAGAGGTTTTAACCTGTTTCTAAATGAGAGACGATCACCAGTTCATTCCTATTTATACCAGAGGTGTATCTACAGCAGAAGGTGGCCAACAGATACGCTGTCTCCAAAATCTTAAAGATGACTTAAAATCTTTCATTTCATTTCACACCTACCACAGGGCAAATTCTACCCACCACCTGTTTTTGTAAATAAAGCTTTATTGGAACACGCCATGCTAATCCATTACATTTTCTCTATGGATGGCTACCTTTGTTCTACAATGGCAGAGTTGTACCACAGATGCCTTATGTCCTGCAAAGTCTAAAATATTTAGTATCTGGCTCCTCAGAGAAAAATTTTACTGATCCCTCCCTGGGTTAAAGAATCTCTCTGACACTTAGATTAGAAGAGGAAAAAAAAAATACATGTATTTTCCAAACATGTCATGACATTTGCCAATATCCTTTAATTCACCTCCTATCCATCAAACACTAGAATACTAGTTAAAATGAAGAGAGTTGCAGGCCAACGAACTTTGTGGTTCAAATACCAGATTTGTATTTTCTCAGTGAAAACATCTGAACTCCTTGATTGTTGTAAATTTACTCAGAGTGATAACAGTTAACTCTACCCTGATGAATTTGTTATTGTTATGATTATATCAAAGAGAATAGAATGAGATCAAATTTCTTTACCCATCAGGACCAGGGACCCAAGAACTCTCTTGCCTCCTGAGCTACATCATCTCCTACTGATGAGGAAGAACTTAGACTAGGAGTAGATTTAGTGCCCCTGTCTCTCTTTATTTTTATATATTTAATACTTTTACAAACCCATACACTCTTTCTAGAATAAGGTAAACACACCATTTATAATTAGCATAGAGTTTACTTCAGTTTTCTGCCTGATTCAGATCCACACAATCACTTCTTTCTTATGTGAATGAAAACACAGTGCACAATAATAAAGCCACAGTCCTGTGTGGGGGACACTTAAGAGGCTACTTTCTTTCCTCAGTACAAATCCTACATCTTCCTAAGCCTCTCTGATAGTTTATCTTCTCTAGAAGGTTTATTGAAATATCCTTCTTCTTATCTGAAATAGCTAATTATAGTTCATTATTGCTTTTTTCCAGATGGCTTTCAGGAAGTGAATCTATTTTATTGCTTTCTAACTTAAAATCTGACTTCTAGTTCAAAATGGTTACAGCCATTCCTTTTTCAAAGATACGCATCAGCAATACCCTGGTCAGATATGTTGTAAAATAATAGAAGAAAACATGAAACCAAGGGTTTAAAAAGCAGTCTCTGGCTGATTACCTCTGCTCATGAAAAGACATCTTATTTTTCTGACACACAGCCATGGCCATTGTAGATTACGCGCCCAGAGCTGAAGGTTGCTGCCCTTCTCAGCCTTACAGACTCCCACTGCATTCATATTATCTACTCTTGTATTTCCCTCATCCTCCCAATACAATCTCTTTCCTTGTATCTGGCATAGAAATTATTTAAATACAAACCAAAATACAAAATGCATAGATCACTTTATGGACTCACATACTTAAAACTCATGAATTGAATAACTTAAACCCACAATGTTAACTTACAAATATTTGCAACAACAAAACAACCACAACCACAACAAAATGCAAGGTGAGACGCATCATCTTTCAAACCCAATGTTAAAAGCAATCAAAATTAAATTCAGCAAAAAAGTGACACCATACCTCTCTTCCATTAGCAAAATAATTTCCAAACTTACCTGCAAAAGAAAAGGGAAAAAAAAAGGACAGTAAATCTCAAATCTGAGTGCATTTTAATTCTTTTTTCTTTAGTAAATTAGACAAAATTGTCATCATAAATACAGTTAATACTTAATTATCACTGTGTGGATTATTCTCTGTAAATAATGCTTTCTAGTTCTTGTAGATGGCAATAGGGCGGCAGTGATGATCTCTAAAGGCCAATTCTCTCTATGGGTAGTCTCAGCCTAGCAGATGAGTTTTAGAACAAAAACATAAATAATTCCCTGGACCAGGAAATCAATGAACTGCAAAACATATTTTGGGGAGTCAAATATAAACAATGGTGAAAAATGCTTCAGGGGGACCGACCTGAGATTAAATTCCAGTTCTACTATAGCTTGATAATTCAAATCAGTTTATACCCCTTGAGACTCAGTATTCTCATCTGTAAAATGAGGACTTTCTATTTGCCTAGTTAGACTATTCTAGGCATTAAATGAGGTAATGCTGTAGAAGCTCAGTAAATATTAGTTGCCTCCTTGACTTTCTGTAAACTTCATTTTATGCCTGTACTTGTAGAAGGATAGGTGTTTGGTACAGCATATAAAGCATGGAAGAGCCTTAGTCAAATTAAAATGAATCGAAAAAATAGATTCTACATTTTTCTGTCTTCCTCATAATGTACCAAGTTTGGCTTCTATGAAATATTAGTCATCTTCCAAATACTGAGCAATGTATTTTTCATTAGAAGTTGAAGCATTTCACCTAGAATTCAAATAATTAACTGAGGATAGAGGTCTTTAGCACAGCCTCTATGTCCCACAGATGCGCATTGGGTCCCCTACTACTGTCACTTTCATTCTCTCATTGAAGTCTCACCAGCCTCCTCTTCTTCCAGGAAACAGCCAGGGTGCTCCTGACTCAGGGCGTTTGCATTTGCTGCTCACTCTGTCCAGGGATCCACACTGCCCAACCCTCATCCTCTTCAAGCCTTGCCTCACTTTTCTCAGTGAGGACTAACTGACTTCCCTATTTAAAATTCTAACCATACACCTTTGGTCTTACTTTTAGCTCCCCTTCTTATGCACTGTCTTTCCCCAGTACCTGTAACCTTCCAACACATAACAGAACATCATGCAACTTATGTTTACTGAGTCTCCCTGCCCCTATATAAGCTACATAAAAACAGGGGGTTCTGTCTGCATTGCTCACAGTTGAATACCTGGGACCTGTAATAATGCCCAATAAATGGAAGAGATTCAAAAAACATTTGTTTAAGGAATAAATAAATAAAGCATGCATAGAAGAGCCAAATATAAAAAATATAAATTATACATATATAATTGTAAATATTGTATTTACATATTTTATTCACATTTTTACTTAATATATTTAATATATATATTTATTTCATATATTTATTATACAAATGTTTGTGTATTTGATCACATATATGAATCATTAATATTTAAGGAATTTGTTTTAGCTAGAAGTAAGTCATTTTACTTTCACTTAATTTTGGTGAGAGAAATTGTGGTAGTCATTAGAGTTGTTGGCTAATATATCCAGCTGTCCTTCTACCAGGAGCACTTAATAAACCTCTTGTGGCTGAATGGGGCCATATGATTAGTTCTAGCCAAACTCATGAGTCATGTGTGGACAAACATTGAACTGCTGGTGTGAGAACCTCCACTCTTTCTTCCTTCTGCCAGAGAGACCAGCAAAGTCTGAGATGCCAACTCTTGGTCGGCCTCCATACCAGTAAGGTAGCTACAGAGCATAGCTCCCAAGTGATGACAGGTAGTATGGGAAAAAAAGTCAACCTTTGTTATACGATTCAGAGGTTGATTGTTAAGGCAGCTTAACTCAACCCATCGTGGTGAATAGAGAAATTACAAATTAATAAAAATTATACTCAAAGACTTGTGAAAAATTTATCGTGCCTACTCTGAATGCCTTTTTGCAAATCATTTTGTTTCTGTTGGTACTTAACTCTGTAATTCTAAGTCATATGCATATATTGTACTTTCATGATCTTGAAATTTTTAGCTATTATCAATTCATGTCTTGTTATATTAGAGATATATTTAATTCTCTTATACTAACCCCACTTCCCTTCTTTCACCTAGTTAAATCACAGTTTTCAGTTAAATTTATAATCACGGTTTGCATATATTTACTATATAAATCTTATTTACTACATAGGTAATAGGATTATATTTCCCTTATGGTATAACTTCTGTTTTTCTTGGAGTCAGTAACTGCCTTTTTTTTTTTTCACCTGTGCAATCTTCTTTGTATTAATTTCTTTTTTTTCCAAATGGTAGCTCACATTTGCCATTGGGTCAGCTGAGGCCTCCACTGAGGCTTTAATCCTCTTCCCCTCCTCACCCTGGAAGTGTCAGTACTGAGAGTACATCCCCATAAACAACATACACATCAGTCTCAGAGCCTGCTTCCCAGAGAATCGGACCACAACACAGGCATTCCTTTCATTGCTTGTTTCAGTCCATCACAACCAGACACTTGCCACATCTGCTCTTTGAGGGCTGGGTGTTTTAAATAACATTTCTTCAGAAAATTAACCTTGAGTATTCTGTGGCAGGAGCTGAGGATGAGAATGGGTGGTTGGGTGGGACAAGGTAATCTTCTTTCGTATCCTCATGCTCTTTCTTTTAAATCCCTCTATTTAATTGTAGATGACATGAATGCATATAGTCAATTCACCACCATTAATCAGAAGTCCATAGTTTTAATTTTTAAACTTATTTCTTTTAAATTCTACTTTATTGTATTTATTTTTAGGGGGGATAATTAGGTTTGTTTGTTTGTTTGTTTGTTTATCTATTTATAATGGAGGTATTGGGGAATGAACCCAGGACTTCATGCATGTTAATCACACACTCTGTCACTGATTTATACCCTCCTTCCATACTTTTTAGATTATACATGCAATTGCTCTTCTCTATTAATGTGGATTTAAAAATAATTTTATGTATTAAAAACAGAAAAGGGCAGAAGAACATTTCCTGAACTGTTGCCTGGAACACTCATTTTTGAAATTTTAAGAGTTCAGTTGAATAATAAAAATAAGGAAAAGACTAGAGAGTCGAATAATTTGGAAGGTATGGCTTGACAATTTTAAAGAAAAAAAATTTTACTGCAGGGCTTCTAAGAGCTTTGGATATAATAATTCGAATGTGTCTACCCTAGAAGATGGAGAATATTTGCAGAATCATTGAACCTTTTCCCTCTGGACATCAGTTAATAAAAGAGTAAGTCATCTTTCAGAATACTACTTGGGAATTGATGCACAAGGCATCTTAAAGTGAGTTTTATACCCGTCATAGTGTTTCTATTACTCCTACAAGAATTGTTTTGCATTAACTGGAGAGGTAAAATAACTGCTAATCACTTGAAAAAGAGTACGCCTGTACTGAGGAATAAACCATGTCAACTTACTTTCAAGTAAGTGCTTTTATCTGTTAGATCAAATTGCCTGCTAAGTTAAAATAAGGTTACAAATACTTGAATTATGATCATCTAATGTAAAATTTCCTCTTCCACAATATTTTTCACTAGAAGTCAATTTCTCACCATCCTGAAATTTGTTCAAGAAATCTCTGTATATTTTTAAATCTATCTTTGTATTTCCAAAATGTTTTCTGTGGAACATCAACCCCATTAGATACACTGAAAACAGAGAAACAGGTAAGTTCCATATTATAAAGTTTGGAATATTGCACATGGTGTCTCTGTTGGAGATTTAAAATACTTATTTGATTTGTTACAGACTTTAGGAATCTTACAGTTATACATCAGTTTAGTTTTGTGAATCACAACTTATTTGACCATAGAATCATTCTGCATGCAGCACCTGTTGATATTATACGGAACTAGCACCCCACAGGACTTACTTGGGGAGGTACTGACTTAGGCTACTGGAGTTCCTAATGATGAGAAAGAGATGAAGGAAACATAAACTCTCATAAATGTTAAGAAAAGAAAAAAAAAACAGCTCCAGTGGTCCCAACCAAAAGAGGTGACTTTTGTGAATGCACCTGGTTTCCTAATGAGAAAGAAAGAGGAAACAGAGAACTAGCAGTGTGATTGTATGTCTATATGTAGGGTAACATATGTATATACAAAAAAAAGGACCTTTTCCCCCAAATGTATCAACCTCATACTGCCATGGATCATCTACCCATGAATGTGGGTTCAAGGCTAAGTGTAGTTCCAAAATACATCTTTTATTTTGGAGAGAAGAAACACCAAGGATTTTGACACAATGACATGAGCCTAGTATAAAAATTATACCTTTGTTGATGTCAGGAACTTTAAGAAACTAAAAACTATAAATATTAAGACTTAGCTGAGGGACTCAGTATGGGAAAAATATTTCATAATGATTTATTCATCTATTCTATGAAGTTGTATGACGATGAGCCTCTGAGGGTGAAGAAATAATGGTATCAAATCTTTGTTTTCACCCCAAAATCTTCTATACCTTCTTGTGTATCGTAAAATACAGGAGTTTAAAATATGAAGTCCATGAACAGGTTCATGAGTAAACTGTGGAGAGCTGGTAAAGAAAAATTGTGTGTATATTTGCATTTTTCGAGGGAGCAAACCATAGATTTAATCAGATTTTCAAATCATCATTAAAGCCCCAAAAGTGATTGATCATTGGAGGAGGTAATCTATAAGGACTCTTATTTTCTGACCACAATTCTAAAAGATGTTTTATGTAAAATGTTGTAAGTCATGGTATGACAATTATTTCTTTGCTAAGGAAATAAAAAGAAATAGTGTAAAGAATATTAACTTATGGGAATTGGTTAAATATACTTAATTATATACAGTTTTAATATACTTAAAAAAAAATTCTGCAGCTAGACTTTATCTAAAGATGTTTTTTGGGTGAGAAACTGAACTGTCCACAAGATGGCTCTCTATAATCTTGGATATATGAGTTTACCAAACCAATTTCTTAAAAAGCTATTTCTAACACCTCTTCTTTATCTAAAACTTTCGTATTCACAATAAGTGGTTCTCTATCATTGTTTTATTTCTGTGCTTGAATATCTAGCAATGCCTGACAAGGTGCTTATGTCTTTTGAGTGAATGGATTAATGAACAGATATTTCAGACATTCACAGATTATTTACTAGATTATTACCGTATTATTCTTTGTCTCCTACATACGTAGCCCTGTGTTATGCATGGTGATGAATTTTTTTTAAGTTTAAAGAGAAAATCATGGTTCTTTTCTTTCAGGGAAGACATCTCCATACCAAAACATTTTATTGTATATTTAATTGAAAAAAATGATTGGTATAGACAAATCATAGACGTACAAAGAAGAGGTGACATCACCGTGGGGTTCAATTAGATAAAAGATCTTGTGGGGTTGGTCTGACCTAAAAAAAAAAAAAAAGCCCCGCAAGATTTGTATGAGAAGAAGGTAAGGGGAAATATTCCAGGAAGGGCAAATATCACAAGAAAAAGCTTGGAATGATGTGGTCCTGGCATGCAAGAAAATGGCCTCCAGATAGTTAAGGTCTTAGGCGAGTTAGAGAGTACTGAATGTCATTTCCAGAGGAAGGAAAGGTAATCAATGTTTACTGAAGACATACTATGATTCATGCTGTGATTAAATGATTCCTCTACCTTAATGATACATGCTTGTGCCTCCTATTAAAGTACTGGAACTCTGGTGCTGTATTTGGATATTTTGATGGCAGGGGCTTCTTTCCTAAATGTGGTACTAAATCCTAGCATACAATCACCAGAGGGAGAGAAAGGTCCTCATAAACTCAGAATTAGGAAGGTGAGCTGTAAGCATAAGAGGAGACAAAGCATCTCCATTATGCTTCTCTGTCTCTTGGGACAAGACTGTCTTTCAGCTCTCTCTCTTGTGGTAAGACCTCTACTGTCCAGGGTAGGTGGAGGAAGCTTTCTCATATGGGACTGAATTTGAGTAAAATATCTCCTATAATAAGTCAAATGATCTAGTCTCATGTTATTTTGCTTTTATATATTTTTTGTTGGTAAAGACTTGTTTAAAAATTTCTGCTTTATCTCAGCTGTTGACTCAAAAAAAATGAGGGCTTTTTTTTTTTAAACCCATATTTGGATAAACTGGGATAAGAGGAGTAGTCTCTGCCTCTCCAAGGGATGATGCTAGTGAAAACAAAAATTAGAAAGAACCCAGGAAATAACGGTTCATCTTAGGAGAAAGAGAGCTGAGGCATGTGGTCTAGCTGTCTCACTCCAAACTGAGAATTTTCCTCCATTCCAACCTTAAACCTCAAATTTACAAGTCAGACTATCTACTCAACATCCCCTTATAAACATCTTAACAGGTTCATAACAGAGCTTCTAATCTTCCCTCTCCAAGCTTCCTTTTTCTGATGTCTTATCCCATCTCAGTTTTTAGCAACTCCATCCTTCCAGTTGCTCAGCCCCAAACTGTGGTCAACCACCACCATTTCTCATGATGAAGTGTCCCCCTCATCTCCCTGCTTCTTTCCTTGTCCTTCTAAAGTCTATTTGAAGTTAGAATCCTCTTGTGAAAACCTGTTCAAAGCTCCTCGATGGCTTATTGCTTGTTTCACTCAACATTAAGACCAAGGTCACAAGGAAGAGCCACAAAGGCCTTTATGGATTGCCACTGATCTGCCCCCATGTCTCCCCGCTTCACCCACTTAAGTTTCATCTCCGTCTCTGTCTCCTCTTGTGCTCCACTTTGCTACTTCGCCCCTGCCCTCGGGGCTTCCTAATTGTTCCTCATCATGGCAGCAAGACTCCTTATTTTCCTTCTGCCTGGAATACTTTTCCCTCACAAATCCACTTCCTTCATGGGTTTGCCGAAATTCCACATTTTCAATGAGATCTTTCCTAACCTCCCTTCTTAAAAATTCCACCACGTACACATATACTCAACTGACTTCTTCCTGATACATTTTTCTTCATAGCATTGATGATAAAAGCAATAATTCTCTCCCTCCCTCTCTCTCTCTTCTCTATTTTTTTTTTATCTTTTTCCCTCAACAAGAATATAAGCATAATGAGGGTAGAATTTTAGTCAGTTTTTTTTCACTGTTGTATCTCCCCCAACATACAGAATACAGTTTGGAATTTAATATGTCTATGATAGATATTTATTGAATAAAATTTTTTTTAAAGTCTTGATTTCTCTGTTCTCCTAGAAAAATCAGAAAGTCTGCCAACACTGGCCTATGTTTTCACATGGCAACAACTGTTAGGAACTTAGACGTGGCTGTGCAGGCAGATGAAGATACACTTTCCCTCTGGGCAGGATCACCACCTGCCTTCTCCCTTTTGTATTATCTGCCTGACCCCTGTTGATATGTAAGTTGTGATCTCTGCTGGGACAGCCCTGAGTGGAGAGTAAGAGGATCAGAGGAGAGCTTTCACTATGTCACCTGGGAGTAGTGGGTAGGACTAATGTAATGAGCCTATATGCAGACACACCAGTTAGTACCTCTTGTCCACATTCAGGTATAAACAGACGAGGACTGCGTGAGATTAATACATTGGGGAATGAAGGACAGAGGAGGCAGAGCTTGAAGGAAGGATTAATAAAACCTGAGGATACTCTGGATCCTGGAAATGAAAGAAAAGAGTAATGATGATATTTCTGGACTGGTTGATTAGAAGAATGGTAATTCCTGATGTTAAAAGAGAACTTGGGAAAGAGTCAACCTAAGAGATCAGAAGATCTACATGTGGAAAGAAATATACCAATCTCAATGAATAAACGTTGAGTTTGAAGACACAGATTTGAAGGTATCTCATAACAAAAAAGGACTTTGGGGTCAATGCCAAAGATGAGGATTCAATTTTGCTTCATGTTTATACACTGCCTATGAAAAGGCACATTATGTTGAAGACCATCTCAAGAAAAGAATATATAGAAGAAGAGATAATAAACAGTATGAAAGAGACTTCCAATTATAGGTCAAGTGGTTGGGATGGGATTCAAAGTCAAAACTCCTCTCTTTTGCCATCAGAAGTGTTCATAATTTAGTGCATTGAAACTGGCTGCTTCCACACTCACAGTATGTCCCTGCTGTCCCCATTCTGCACCCAAGCTAATCTCATTCTAGTGAAGATAAATTATAAATGGCACCATGAATATTTGAAAAGATTCCCTCCTTTCCTTTCCTGACTTTGTATTTTCAGACCACATATATATACTCTGGAAATGTCTGAGTAAAGACAAGATGGTTCTATCTGCTGGTTTGTAGAATATTAATTTAAAAATAAGACCGGTTATTTTTAATTCAAATGCCACATAAAATTCATCTTCTTCAACAAAGGGCATGCACCACGGAGAGCAGCTTTCCTCTGAAACTTGATGAAAACTCAAGTGCTATATTCCAGAAAATATGTACTTTAATTAAAAGTAGAAGATAAACATGATGAAAAGTTTCTCCACATCCTTTAAAACAAGTTCAGTCTATAAAAGCTGTAAGCATTTTTATTCTGTTATTAAGGGCCATTGCCTCAGGGAGCTTAGTGTTTCAAATTTTGTATACTCATTTCTTTAGAGTGAAGTTATCATAAGGTGTTTCCCAGCTTTAATGTTCTGAGGTGGTTTCCTTTGAGTTGCTAAGAGATAGATTGTCGTTTTGGCTGCCAAACAGACCCAGAGAGCCCCGCTGTCTGTATTGGCAGATAAATGACAGCAGATGGAATCAAGCACACATCCTGTCTCATCGGCAAGCCTGCAGCCTCAGAAGAAGGGATGTGCCCCTGCAGCGTGATGCAGGTTGCTCCACTAGTATCAGTGTCACTGTCAGAGTCGGTGAAAGGGAAATTGGCAAGTCACTATACATAGCAGGTAAAATGCCACCCTCACAATTCCTGTAGGCATGTTTTCCTCACTCACATCTTATCTTTTGTCCAAGGGCAGAATTCCGGGCTAAGATGTTTCACCATCCTGAATTTTTTTTTACCCCCAGTGTGTAGAAAGATAATTAATGTTACCCTGAGAGCATGTGTTGCCATTAATATTCATTTCATTAGTACTATCAATGCACCAGGAAATGAATACAAATGTGAATTAACAGCTTATTGAGCATATACTATCTCACATGTTTACTCTATGATCATCTTTTTTATTACTATAATAATAAAAGTAAACACTTGTATAGGGCTCACCATCAACAAGGCACAGTTCCAAGGCCTTAAAATATATTAACTTTAAAATCTTTTCAACAACCTCATTTTTGATATAAGAAAAAACTATAATAATAGTTACTACTCATAGTTATACTTAGAGTAATAAAAGCTAACATGAGTGGTTATTGTGTGTTAGTTACTACTATACATGTATATGTGTATGTGTGCATATGTGTGTGTGTATGTGTATATACATATACATGTGTATGTATATACATGCACATATAGTGTATATATACACATATATATACATTTATATAATCTATTTTAATTCTCACAATAGCCCTGTAAGTTTGACATTATCATTTTCATTATTTTCATTTAGAAATGAAGAGACTAATAACAGTAATAATGGATAATACCAATCATAGTAATAAAAGCTAGCATTGTGACCTTAACATGTGCCAGCACATTAATGTCCACCCTGCAGCTATCATCTCATTTAGTCTTCACAGAGGCTGAGATTGCCATCCTCGTTTTAGAGATGATGAAACGCTAAGAATCCAAGGACAAACAGCTAATAAGTGAGGGCTGGGGTTTTTAACTCAGATACTGAGCTCAGAGCTTGGCCCCTTCACCAGTATACCAGATCATAGACAAAACATTCTGGAAATGCAGGTGTGAGACAGGTTGTGATCACAAGGAGTTAACACTGAGTGAAGGGTGTTTTACAACATATGACGTCAACTGGAAAATGCGATTTAACATCCGTTTTTTGAGGGTCCAAGCTGTGCACTAGGCAGTGGGAGAAATGCAAGGTGGAGGCAATGGTTAGGCCCCACCTTCCCAGGAACCTGTGATCCCACAGGGGAGAGAGAGATGGACATGAATAGTGCAAAAGAGCAAGTGAGGGGGGCAGAGCTGGGAAAGGGGCAAGTGAGAGATGGATTCTGGAATACAGTATGAAACTCTGGAGAATTACACTGAAATACACAAGCTTCTGCTGGGCTCTTCATCTCTTTATAGACTCCACTTACATTTAGCTCTGCTGATGTCACTCTTGCAGCTACCCAGCTTCTCAATTTACAGAAAAGAGGGGGAGAGTGCGAAGGCATTGGCTGTTCCTGCTCAGCAACAGAACTGTGCTGCTCTAGAGGGAAAAGTCTGACATCGTGAGATTCTGTTTACTTCATTCCCAACATACCTTTCAGGGAGCCTGGCAGTTCAATAACCCAAGTGAATCCCGTGCTAGAAAGTCCTTCCTTTGGACAAAGCACTGTTCTGCCACCCATGCTGAAGGTCAAACAATTTTTCTGGATGCTTTTGAGGTAAAGGAAATTCTGAATCTGCAAGGAACAGCTTGACTCATGGTAATTCTGAGACCGAAGGTGTGACAGTAAACAAGCCAGATATATTCTGCAAAGCCCTGCACAGAATACCAACTTTCTTAAGCTTTATTTACTCTTTGTAAGGAGGATTACCTCCTCTAAGAGTGAATTCAACAACTCGTAGTTGATGGAGTGACTTCTTTTTATCCTGATTGTTTTACATTAGTCTCCTGTACACTCATGAGAAGACTGGAAGTGAAAAGCGTTAGTAGATATCATCTTTAGAGAGCTGCAGTAGGATGATCTAACATCTGAACAACATACTCCCTTCCATGTCTACAACCTCACTCATCAACCAGCACTGAGTCTGCTGGTCTGACTGGCCAGATGTTCTTGTCTCCTCTCTCCTGAAAGGTCAAGGAAGCCAGCCTCACATCTGCCAATGAAGAGTACTCCAGTCCCTGCTCTACAGTAAGAAATGATGTTAAATCCATCACAAATTAAGGAGGAAGCGAAATATCCCACTCAGATATTGAACAATCCCTACCCAAGATATTTAACTGTGATCATGCTAATAAACATAGGACATTTATCATATTTGGAAATTTGGTCACTTTGGTTCCTTTTAAATTTACAAAAGAATCATTTAACTAATTGCCACCCCCCCCATTGTACTATAAAAGCTTAGAACTAGAAACAGGGTCCTTTGTGCCACCCCTGTCACTCCCTCTGAAATCCCTGTAGTCCTTTCTTCTGCTATTTAACTCTATACCACTAACTGACTTCCCATTATGGACAATAAGGATTTCACACTCTTTCACCATCTCACTTCCCCACTTCCCTCCCTGTATCCTCCTGACTTAGTGTAGTTACATAACAATTGATGGTTCCATGGATATTCAGGTTTTATCTTTTAATTCCTGAGAAGTAATGTTTACTGATAAGCTCAATAGTGTCACATGACTATGTTTCATTTATTGATTGATTAGTCTTTCTTTTTTTCTGGAGTTATAAACTGCATCCTTTTTTATCTGCTTAATTTTATGTGGGATTATCATCAGTTACTCCAGAACGCTCCAAAATAATTTTAAAAAGCTCTTTGTAATATATTTTCTGCCTGGGTCAAGCATATCAATTATTTTATCAGTTCCCTCATACCTGATTGGTGATTTAGCTGGGTTTAGAATTCCAGGTTGCAAGTCATTTTCACTTAGAATTTTGAATGCATTGTTCCATTGTCTCCTAATCATCAATGTGCTTTTTAGAGGATAAAATCAGTATTATATGAACCCTTATCAGAAATATAGTCCATGGGTTTTTTGCTTTTTCCCCTCCTTCTCAAGATGCTTTTAGGATCTACTATTTGTATCTTGAAATGTCAAGATATGTCTTTTGTATGGGTCTGTTTCCTTCACTGTTCTAAGCATTCATGGGTGTTTTTAATGAAGAAAAATGTGTTCTTCAGTTTGAGGAAAATTTTGTGTTATTTCTTGGATAAGCTCATTCCCTTTATTTTTCCCTCTCTCAGTTTTTCTTTCTCAAACTCCTACTAGTTAGAGCTTAGCCATAGAATCTTTTGTCTAATTTTCTTAACTTTTATTGCCCATCTTTTTGTTGGAAGCTTTCTTAATCTTGAGTTATGTTAGTATTCCCTAAGCACTTCCATTGAATTTTTTAATTTATCTATCATTGTTTTAAATTTTAATAATAATTTTTTGCTTACTTATTGATCTTTCCAATGATCTGATGAGGTTGGAGTGGAATTGGTCTCCTAGCTGTGCAGGGTGAGAGGAGGGTCTGTGAAAGAGCCCACTTTAGATGCAAATTTTCCATCAATCTCCACCTATTTTTAAGCATATTTGGTTCCTCAATTCCCAGGTCTTTCCAGATTTCCACAAAGGGAATTGTTTGCTTCTCCTGATACCCTCCTCTGCAGGCACTATGTAATTAGCATTCTCAACCTTGCTAATCTCAGTTCTCTATTACCCATTTCTAAAATACTCCTTGCTCATCTCCAGTTTTCTCCTTTCTCATCCCTCTGTTCTTGGGGACTGATACACTTCTTTTCCTCTACCATCATTTTAAGAGAGGATTTTCAAAGGTAGAAATTTAAAAAGGTTGTATTTGCTGTCTCCTGCTGCCATTGCATCCACTACAGACTGGGTGGTTTCAACAACAGAGATTTATTTCCTCACAGTTCTGGAAGCTGGAAGTCCAAGATCAAAGTGTCAGGCGGTGGGTTTCTTCTGAGGTCTCTCTCCTTGGCTTACAGATGGCCGCCTTCTTGCTGTGTGTTCCCATGGTCTTTCCTCAGCATGTGTACATCTATGGTGTCTCTCTTTGTGTTTCCAAATTTTCCCTTCTTATAAGAACACAAGTCATATTGGATTAGGGCCCCTAAACTTTTAACTTAATTGGCTTTAACTTAATTGTTTAACTTAATCATCTTTAAAGACCATACCCCCAAATACAGTTACTTTTTGAAATACTGAGGACTAGGACTTCAATGTATGAACTCTGGGGGGACAAAATTCAGTCTGTCACAAAGATAATGTTTAAAATTTAAAAAAATTCTTAACACAACTCTAAGCATCTTGAAAATATGTACTCTTTTACTTAAAGATGCCAGGCACAACATCCCAAATAGTGTTCTCTGCGAAACAGCACACCCTTCATTGATTAATTCATTCAATTACTAAATAACAATTATCGAGCATATATTTTTGTACGGTTTTTGGTTTAGGAACACAAGGGACGTGAAGGTAAATCAGACCCAACCTCTGAATATAATGGGGTTTCATTGAGAGGGATAAGAATAGGAGGCTTTATATTCCTGTGATGCATTTTAATAGGATGCTTTAAAATTTTAAATATTTATCAACTCCTTAATGGTGATTCTTTTGAAAAAAACATGGCAGGCTGTTTTCAAGGAGATACTAACATCTCTCATCTTTCACATTAAATGCAATGCTTCACACTTTTGAAAAAAAATCACTTCTGTTACTTGAAAGTCACACACTTAGGTTGTCTTGTTATTACTTTTGCTGACTACCATTTCATGTCAGGGAATATAACAGCTAAACTTTCAATTGTAGAAAAGCCTTAAGTCAAGAACTGAACAGTATTAAAAGGATCCCCCCCCCATTTCACACCCACATCTACCCTCTCAGGGCTGGCTGAGGAGCACTGGGGAAGGGAGGGGGGAAGAACTGTTCACAGAGAAGAGCTAAGAAGAGATCATGACAAAGCTGCACACGACAAACCTCCACCAGGTCTGGCCCATGGCTTTTCACATGAGTTGGCAAACACATGAGTTGGGGAGCATGGCTACATCTCCTGCTGTAAGGGGTATTGATCCATGGAAAACTATTAATGATTAACCTAAACTTAAGCAATGAGAGGTTTTACTTTGCACTGGCAATCTCTGCCTTGACCATCCACACAAACTGCACACAGAGTGAGTATAAAGTGGTAAGTAAAATATTTTACTTTTTAGTAAGCTATCTCAGTCCTTTACCAAAATATGAGGACCAATTTGGGGGAGATCTGGAATTCCTCAATGAGAAATCATAATCTGCTATCTCTAGGAAGTTCTGTGCATATATTTCCCTGCCCCTCCATTGGTTATAGGGGATTTTCTATGTGTGTAAGATTAACCTTAAGAAGATAATTTACACAGGTCATCTTTATTCTGTGGCTTTCATAGCCAGTTTTTTGTACTTTGGCATGTCATGTCATGGTCCAGATGTGAAATTCAGCCAATCTTAAACTTTGCTGACACTAGGAAGCATTTGGGTAAAAATAAACTGAATCTTAGGATTTTCCAATCAGAACACCATTGCTTGCAGCAAAGACTTGTTATATATTATGTACATGGGTATTAATTTTATTTGTTAATAGGCTGTTCTTACTCTTTTTCAAGAAAAAGGGAACTCCAGCGTCATTTGTCATTCTTGACAGCAATGCCGACTGGCCTAACAAAAATACCACAGTTGTCCTTTTGGAGGCGTCCTTCCTTTGCCTCCCCCGCTATGCAGCACCCTTCCTACAGCTATCTCCCTCCCTGCACAATCCCTGAACCTGGATGTGATTGCATGCAGATCAAAATAGACAGGTGGTCAGCATACATATTGCTTGAGGCAGAGAATCTCACAGACGTGAAATGTGGGAAAGAATAAAATCAAACAGATTTGGGGAATCTGTGTAAACACTGTTTGAAATTCCTGCTTCTAACTCTTTAAGATCTGGGTTGATTTGGGAAGGACTCAAACTCTCCAAGTCTCAGTTCTTTATGGATAAAATAAGGACATTATTAACTTCTTCATAGAATGGTGCTTTCTTGGGAAGATTAAATGAATCAACATGAAAGCCTCCCTCTCTCTTCTGATGTCTATTAATATACACACGTATATGTTTGCTTTACATGTGTCTGCAGTTCAATTAGTGCTAGCTGTAGCCCAGAAACTTGTAGTGTAGTTTGGAATAAAGTGTATATTGTAGCACGAGTCAAATGACAGCGAAATTTTACAAGAAAAGATACCTAAAAAGCTGCATGATTAGATGTCCCATGATCATACTGAAAATAACAGAACTCACATATTCTGTCTGAATCCACACTGCATACCAGTCAACACAACAGTCTCACTATTCAAGACAACCTTGAAACTTGGGCTTTGTTACTCTAAATACAAAGAGGAAGAATATGAAGTTCAGAGAAAGTAGGCCACTTGGTCAGGAAAACAAACAGACCCACTAGGACCCCAAGCCTGGTCTCCTTCCATGAGGCCATGCAATCCTGACTCTGCAACAAGGTAGAGTGCATGATTCTTGAAAAAAGCGTAGAATTTGGGCAGGTCAAGAGGAGAGAGGAACTCTTCAGGAGAGGGGATGGTGAGTGGAGGCATGGGGATGGAAACAGAGAAGGCATATCTGTGAGACAGCTACAAACCAGCTTGTCCAGAGATAAACTATGTGGGTGAGAAGCAGGAAA